GGAGCAAAAGAATAATAATTTAAAAAACACAAGGAAAGGAGAAATCTTAAAAAAAAAAAAAGCGAACAACATCAAGCAGGTTCTAGAGCAGGAGACCTGCTGGAGATCTGAAAACTAATTACTGAAACAGTGTGTGGGAAGCAAAGACAACAAAGTTGAAGCATCTTCTGTCCCTGTGGACAGTGTAAATAAACCTGCTGCTCTCCACTGATTGCTGGGAAGAGTTTCATCATAAATTCCCCTGTCACTCACAAAGAAGTCTAATTAACACTTTATCTACACAAACCCCAAATAAATGTTTAAAAAAAGCAATATCGAGGCATACTGAGAGCTTCCCTTAAATAAATAATAATAATAATTTTTAAAAAAAGCATTTTAGGTTCATTATCAAGAAACATTTTTCTCTATATGGAGTTTTTGAGTTTAGCTATATCAAAAACAACTTAAACTCCAACAGCTAATATTGCCTACAACCCATTGCGCTTTGGAGGATTTGGATTCGTTTACAAACATGTATAAAAAAAATGTACATTTTTTGAATGTTCAATTCAGCTCCAGTATTTGTGTCCTAAATCACATACTGTCTGAGTAGGTACTACATTTGAATTTGAACTTACTTTGCGACCATTAAAAAAGTATTGTTCTATACAGTATGGGTAGCATGAATGAAATTCAGACGTATTGCATCCGTCATGCTGTTACTGTCACGTGATCTACCTGCATCTACTTCAGTGCTATTCATAAATCCTCTCCCGTGGCTTCATGGGATAGTAAACTGTCCATCGAAAGCGCACATCAGAATCCCGGCAAAGTAGTACATCATCCGGGTACTTTTCGCCTACTGTTTTTCAAATACTATGAATTCAGACATGCTACTTTTTTGGCTTACTGTATTTCAGGGAAGTATTTGATTTGGGACACAGAGTGGTGCGCATCTCGGCGCCATTACCAAACTGAGCTCACAGTTGCGTCTTAAACGGACATATACACTCACAATTAATTCAAAGTGCTTGTTTTTGAGCAAGTATCATCGAAAGCACATTCTTAACTCCTAATAAACATAAAACACTCAGATCTGCTCGACTTAACTTCTGTAGCTTAGCTACTCTTCTGCTACACACAGACATCTATTTACTTTTCTTCTCAAAAAGAGAGATTGTGTAGAAGTATGCGATCTGGGACGCAGCACGTGCAACTTTGGGCCCTCTAGGGGTCAAAAAATAAAACTGCATGTGACTCACAGAAGAGCATTGTTTTAGTTGTGTTTAGGCTCTTCTACTCTGCGCAGGTGAATGTGGTTCCACGCACAGGTGTAGGATTAAGGATAAGTGGATTGATGAATAAATAACATTTTTGTGGCTTTTAGACCTTTTGATTCCTGGAGGTTTGCCGTTTTGAATGATTCAAGGTCAATTTCTATTGTCCGCTGTGACAATGAACTTTCAGCTTCATGCAACGCACATGCATACAGTACATACAAACATGTTTGCATTTGGGATATGTTATATATTATGGAAGTCAATGGGGACGAGCAACTGTTTGGTTACCTACATTCTTTTCAATATCTTCTTTTATGTTCAACAAAAGAAAGAAATGTATACAGGTTTGGAACAACATGAGGGTGAGTAAATGTTTCTTTTTTTGGTTGAATCATCCTTTTAACAAGCGGATAAGGAACGTGTTCGTGTCCTATGCATCACATAAAACTTCCCACTTCCTATCATACAGAATTTAGGAAATCCCTTTCATACAGTATCATCAGGCTGTAAAAACACTTTTATTTCCAGAATGATATGCAATTTTTGTGATGGGCGTCGTTTTTTAAAAAATCCTGAAAGATCCTGTAACTGTTAAAGCGTGCAGTGCTTGCTAGCGCCTCCATTTAGTCATCCATCAGAGAAGTGGGTGTTGTTTCTGGCCCAACATGTCTAACGCACCGGTATAAATCACTCACAGTGATTTCAGGGTCCAGTGTTTAAATAATTAAAGAGCTTTAATTTATCAGGATTTAGCACCTTCAGACATGAAAGCGGACAGTTGCTGGGGGACAGGAAATGAGCAACAGTAATGGAGTCAGAGCGGAGGAGAGCGAGAGAGATTCACGCTCTAATAAAACTGAACGCACATGCATTGAACGGGTGGGGGGGAGAAATAAAGTGTGTTTTTGAACATGCTTCCAGTAACACAATCAAGGATTGAGAAAAGATAATGCTACAGCAGTGTCATTTGACACACATTTAAAAGGCTTTTGAGAAAAGGTTTATTAACTATACAAAACCAATTCACCCAAAAAACGTACAGGTCAATGAATCACTACCATTAAGCACTAATAACGGGCACTGGATATGACTTATCTTCACAGTGGTAAAATGCACATCAAACAGCATGCAACACAAGTTTGACTTTATCGAACGCAAAATTACAATTTGGTTCAATAGATTGCAGGATTTCAAACTACTGCCAACTAAACGGACTAACTTTAACATACCGTATTGTCCCGAATATAAGACGATATTTTTTTCTTGGAAATACATCTGAAAAAACGGGGTCGACTTATATTCAGGGTCTAGACTTC